ACTGCAAAGTGCATGTAGATGGTGTGGATTGAGTCTGAGCTAGTGAATCTAAAAGAGAAATTGAGTAGAAAATCAATTCATAAAGAAATACTGATTAAGTGCTTTTTGATGTTTGGCATTACCTTTGACCTGAGTAGTTGAAAAATATTATCACAGGTCAATTATTTAATAAACAGCATCAATATCATATATATCAGAAAACAAACCTTTTGGAGTAGTCATTTCTTTGGATGATGAACATTGTAGAGGTAGAAGTAGCCCGTGTATGTGTAGTTGCTAAGAAACACAGAAAGTCATATATTTTATGAAAAATAAAATACCGAGTACAGTATATTCCAAAGGGACTTACCAGGACGGCTTACTAAGTTGGGCTTGGGAGTGTTAGTTGATGATAAACTCCTTGATACTCTTGAAGATACGTCCTGTGGGCAATTGCAGACCTCACTGATGAAATGACTGACTTAACTAAAATTTGTATGTGTTTTGTATGTACTATATCATGATAGGTAAAGTATTTAGACTTAGTTTGTTTTATTCATACTAATTTAGAGTATAGAGTATAATAACTGTAAKTGCTCTTACCTTTATTTGCAGATTCCATCTTTTCTCTATCACTAAGCCACCCTCAGTGAAACTTGTCAAGTACATTTTGAAGGATTGCYTATTTTTACTAAGGGGTGCAGGGTTAGAAGCCGGTTCTTTTCTCATGTCGTCCACCAACCATGCAGCATAGCCAAGAGCATTTTCAACAACCCACTTGAATGTTTTCCCTCTATATTGACYAAAATATGTGACATATTCGCCAAGGACATGAGTTTCGTCATTTGGATTTCTACCAAGCTTTTTCACTGCAKCCTTAGCTTTTTCTCGCACTGTTGAAGGGTTTTCACACATTCTGGGAATATTTTGAATCCTCCCAGCTCTATATTTGGCCATGTAATTCTTGGCCTCTTCGGAATCTGCAAGACGAGGTTGGCCGCTTCCAAAGCGTACAAACTTTGGTTTGAAATTCTAGAATATGGCCAGATATATAAACATAAATACGGATACTTATTAAGAATGAAAGAAATAATTCAAAGAACATAGTAAATCTACGAAAAACAAAGTTATAGAAATAGAAATATGTATACCAGAGGAAAATGCTTTATTATTATTGTTACAATTATTATTAATATTATCGTTTATTTAATTCGGGTAGGATCAATACTGTATATTCTAGTACAAGTGTTGTGACGCTAAGGCTTCGGCTGGGGTTYGGATATACGACATATAGGCGTTACTAGTCCAACGTCCTAACGTTTGTATCAGGTGATCAGGCACTACGTTACGCGCCGCCACAGTTGCCGCCCCGATTCTGAAACTGTGACTGGAGAAATTTCCGGGTACTCCAGCCACCAGGAAGATGTTCTTTAGCCAAGACGACAATAGGTCCCGCGACAGGGCCTTGCCATTCTGGAGGATGAATAGCGGACCTGGCACATTACCTCTCCTATGAAGATATGCAGACATTGCAGTAACCGCGCAAAGCGAGTTTTTTCCTACGCCGATAAATAAATGGCAACCTTTACGGTCTTTACGGAAAGGGTCTGTTTTCGAGGCTTTGATCAAGACGCGAAGACAGGAAGGTGTTTCAGTACTGTCGAAGGCCAGGTCCGCCACCTGCAGGTTAATGGCAGGATCGAACTTAGAGACATTGGGTACCGTGAATTCTGCCRATCTTAAAAAACCAAAGTATGCTAAAGTACAGGCTGCCCAGAACATGCTATGGTCGTACAAATTAGCATTGAGCAGAAATTCGTTGCACTTCTGATCTAAAGTGGACAGGTTAATTCGCTTATCAGTTTTGGCGGTATCATGGTAGGTTTGGGATTGGCTGAAGGAGCAACTCGTCTGAAWTCCTGCCAATTAAAACGAGACAAGGCGTCAGCGATTACGTTGTGCTCACMTTTGATGTGTTCGGATGAGAAATAGAACCCGTGGCGAGCAGCTGCGAACAACAGGCTGCGAATTAGGCGCATGAGGACTGGTATTTTTGAGGTTCTTTTGTTAAGGATTGTGACGACTGCTTCGTTGTCGGACCGGAACAGCACGTGTTGTCTCGTCCACAGGTTGCCCCAAATAGGCCACAGCTCCTTATAAGCAATTGACTGCTGGGACTGTGGTTCGAGCCAT